ATTGCACTGAAATGACAAACATCTTAAGGTGATCTCAAAGGACCTTGGTGATATATATGACTTCAGCCTACCTTCTGGTCCCCTCGTTTCCTTTTCCCTCCCAGTCTCAGTGTTACATCCGCATTGAACTGCATTCAGTTCTTAAAGACGTTGAAGTCCGTCCTCGCTAAGTCCTTCACTCCTCTCATTTTCAACCAAGAATTTTTTTCTTTTCCCAAAGCCTCCATCTTGTTAACAGTTGTTTTCGTTCAGATTTTAGAGCAATTGAAGCCCTGCATTTCCATGCATTTGATGGCACTCCATTCACAGACGTTTTATCAGGCCTCAATATTAATGTCCTCATACTAATTTATTCTTTCTCTTTTTTATTAAGTATTTGTTATATTTAAAAATCCATATATATCCCTAAACCCACTGCTGTTGAGTTGATTCCAAGTCATAGCAACCCTGTAGGACAGACGAGACCACTATATTGTTCTCTTATTGAGTGGCTGGTGGGCTCCAACAGGCCACCTTTGGGTTAGAAACTGAATTCTTTAAACCCCGTGCTACCAGAGCATACACACACACACATAGATACTCACATATATACACACAAATACATATAGAAAGGGCTTCAAAAGTTCTGGGGATAAAGAGAATTGACAGATCATGGAATTTTTCTATGAATTTTTGAAGTCCTATTGTATAATAAAAATATTGCAAATCTCCATATAACCCTTATCTATATTAAGAAATAAAATTTTACTAATCTCATTTAGTAAAACACATAGGATCCAGCTAGAAACTTTATTTCCAACTTCCTTTTCATATAGGTAAGTTATGTGAAGTTTTACTTTAGGTGTACATTTCCCTAAAAATATATTATTTATTGTTGCACGTGTGAATATTTTTAAATGTTGCTCTTCTGTATGTGCTAATCTATTTCTTGAATTTGCACTAAGTATTATGCTTTAGAGTTGGAAGACAGAGTCTATTTTATTCATTTTCCTTTCACCTTCTTATGAGTTCTGTTTAATAGGACGGTAATGTTCTATATTATGACTATTGCATAGTCTTTATGCATTATTTCATTTATAAATATTACTTATTTTAGTTACAGACACATGTAAATTTAAATATAATTGTATGTTTATGTGTTGTGCGTATAGTATAAATATAATATATAGATATATTTGGCTATAAAGTATTCTTGCCAGCAATATTATGTATTTATCTTTTTGAGAATGAGTTATTGCCGTTTGATCTTCAGTTCAGAATCACCGTCCAAGGATTTTATTAAACCATTTCTCAACGTAAGAATTTAAAACAACAGACATGATTATGTTGTTAAATTCTAGGTTTCAATTAGGGTTGAAGTATGACTGAAAAAATACCAAAGGAATATTTTTCTTCCTCAGAGAGAGAGATCTTTCTTTGGCAGTTCTTTACGTGGGACCCTTTTTTAATACCATAAAATTTTTATTGTTTAAATTTTGGAAAATGTCAAATATTAGTTAGAATTTCCACAGAAAATAAAGTTTGCCTATAGACTGTCATAAATATCTAATCTGGTCATTTTGTCGGTAGTGTTGTAATTTTACCAGAGTTATTGGCAGCAAGTGCTATTGTCTGAGTAGCTTGCTGGTTTGCCCTACTACATTTTTAGATGCACTCAATATTCTGGTGTATACAACTTTAAATATACAGTACTTAAAATTACTCCCTAAAAATTAATACATTTTCAAATGCAATCTACAAGAGGTCTATGTGAACTGAAACATTTAACACATGAGGGGATGATTTGACCTTTCCACAAGACAGTGAAATGTTCTTTGTTCAGCCTTAAGTTTGAAAATGAAGTGACTTCTTTGATGTTTTGCTCTGTGATTGGTGATCTTTTATAAGTAATTCCAATCTATAGTAATAATAAAATATAGAATATTTTATTTTAAATATTCTTTCATGGTATAGTAAGCAAAATGAGAACAAATTTGTTTAAATCGAACTTATAGCATCAGAACAATTCCAGTGAATAAAACTTCCTCTGTTGATAATGAAAGGATGCTCCGAAAGCTTGCCGTTCAAACCCACCCAGTATCTCGTCAGAAGAAAGACATAGTCGTTTACTTCCTTAAAAAGTACAGCCTTTGAAACTGTCGGGAAGTCTTGCTCTGTTCCATAGTCACTGAGAGTCAAAATCGACTTAATGGCAATGGGTATAAAAAAACTGCAGTGTAGACTGGGGATGAGAGTGGTTAAAGTTCTTGAAAGACCTGGAGTCTAGACCCAGGTACGTGAGGACTATAATACCCATTAATCTGTGCCATACTTAACACAGAGCAGTAATCCTGAAAAGTTACTGAAGTCATTAAAGGATTTGGTGCCGCGTGGAAGGAACATGGATATTAGTGCATTCTGAGTTCACATATGATATTCTCCTTATTCCCTGTGGGACCATATGACATATTATTAGACTTTCAGTTTTCTCATTTAGGAAGGGAGGCTAATAATAATAGTAGCCATTAATATTTGTTATGGTGCCACCCCAACAAAGCATCCAAACAAAAGTATTGACCTCAAATAGTGGAGTCATAAAGCCTTCACACTAAAGTGATCTGATGATAAAGTTTAAGTAAATATTAATTCTAAATTATTCTTTATATTTTGCAATTATTATCATCTAGATACCATTTATTTCCGATTAAATGGAATATTTATTAATTGACCAAATGTCAAGATTAAATGCTGCCTAATATAATTTAATTAATTTATCATTTGCTCTTGAACAGTGTTGTTACTGCTAGATGCCTTTGAGTCTATAATCGTTACCCCATGTGACAGAGTAGAACTGCCCCTCTAGGCTTTTCTTGGCAGTAATCTTTATGGAACAAGATCTCAGGTTTTGGCACCAGCTTTTGAGTGGGGTTCAACTTCCCAGATTTTTTGATCTCCACCAAGCACTTAACCATTAGAGTAGCAGCACTTCTCTCATGAACGGTAGCCTTTATAAAACAAAATAATATAGGTAGATCTCCACTTCATTTTATCAAAACAGAGACTATTGAATTAAATGTGAAACCATGAAGGTTTTTATGGCTTTTAGACATTATGTCTTACAAGCTAAAACTTTCCCATTCAAAAAATTATTTTTTTTAAATCCAGCACATTTTCCCCAATACTTTCACAGCTTAACAATAGAAAAGGATCAACTTAATTTTTAAATTGGTAAAAATAATATTGATAGGTTACAAAATGCAGATAGGCAACATTTAAAGAAATGCTCATTCTCATTCATAAGGATAAAAAATATAATTCCAACAAAAATATGACATTTTCAACCATCAAAATGTTAGACAATGCTCATCCAATATTTCATATTTTGATTTGTGTGTGGTGAGTCAGGTATATTCATTCACTCATTCTTTGAATATAAATGAATGGAATACAAGAATATGTATAGAAAGATTTAAAATGTAGCCTATCTACTACTATACTAGGAATTCATTCACTAAATATCTTGACACACAGGATCAAAGCTCTATAAATTCAAGGATCTTCATTGAGGACTATCTATGTCGATTTATTTTTTAATCCTAAATATTAATACAAGTGATTCAATGAAATAACAAAATGAAGTTAAATCAGTCTTAGAGATATGATACCCAGAACCCCCCTTCGAAGGAAGAACGTGAGACTTCATCTCACATATATTACCAAATAAGACCATTCCCAGGAAAAGGGTGGTGTCATGCTTGGTAAAGTAGAGGGTCAGACCAAAAGAAAGACCCTCAGCATGATGGATGACACCGTGGCTGCAGGAATGGACTCAACCAGTAAAGTAATTGTGAGGAGACTTCAGGACGAGGCAGTGTTGCATTCTGTTATACGGAGGGTTGCTATGAATCAGAGTCTACTTTGAGCTGTTTAACGACAGCGGCAGTAATATCCCTAAAATGGTAGACTATTAGCAATTATACAGAACAGGGGAAAATTATAGTCTACAAATCTGGAATGATCTTAGAACTTATTTTGGTGTATAAAGAAAAAGTATGCACAGTTTTATTGTAAAATTAAATCCATGAACAGAATGAACAGAAATATGGATGCAGGTGTTCCGGATTGGATTATGTCCCCCAAACATGTTCCAATTTGGCTAGGCCACGATGCTAATATTATGTCATTAGCCTCCATTTTAGTGAGCTGATACAGTTATCCTATGTTTTGTAAAACATATTGTCTAGGATAAATTACAATTAGAAGTTTGTATGTTAATGAAGCAGAATTAGGATGTACCTTGAGTCAATCTATTTTGAAATATAAAGGAGAATAAACAGACCAGCAGATCTGACAACCCCCAAGAAAGAAGAGCTGGAGGTGTAATTTGTTCTTTGGACCCAGCGTGTCTGCCCAGAGAAATTTCTAGATTTGGGGCATGAGTGATACCAAGAGACATTGCAATCCCCAAAGAATGCTGTTCCCAGAGTGGTTGAAAGGAGGCAAGGACCTTCCCCCAGAGCCAGCAGAGAGAGCCTTCCTCTAGACTGCTAGCACCCCGCGTTTTGACTTTTTGACTTCTAGCTTCTTACATGCTGAGCTTAAAACCAAATTATGTAGATTAAAGTCTATTTTGTGGTGTTTCTTTAACAACAGCACTAGAGAACTAAAACAGTAGGCTCTGTATTAAACATTTCCTAGAAAAACATTAAGAAAAATATTGAAAATAGACTTAGTAATATGGGTTGGAAGAGGAAAGAGCAGGCAAGTCTTTGTATTTAATGTTTTTCGGAATGATCTGAAATGCCCTTTATGGTCAGATGTATTTCACTTTTAATTCTTATGTAATGCTTTTAATATAATGACGAAAGTACACACATTATAAAGGACTTAAATGTCATTAAGACATTTAAGGTGCTGAATAGCCTATACTGTGTGTTCTTGGAAGGAAAGTGTCAAAACTTGACATTCTTGAGTGGAAATCACATGTTCATTGACATTTAATGAATTTTGTTTTCCCCCAGACAAAGCCAAAGGAAGATCAAGAGCAGGGACCCACTTTGACTCAGCTCGGAGACGGAGTCGAGCAGTCCTTTATCACATCTCAGGGCACCTGCAAAGACGAGAAAAGAACAAATTGAAAATAAATAATGTAGGTGGTATGTGTGTGCGCTATGGCGTCTGGTTTCCCCGGGTGGCCACATTTGACTTGCTAAAGAAAGTCTCCAATTGCTCTTTTATTGGCTGTCCAAGATTTCATTCCACTTTAACTTGTGCTTTCCTATAAAGAATGAAATGGGAAAGCTCAGCAATCATGAGGCATTGCTGTAATAAAAGTATTAATCATAATGTTATCACAGCACGGAGATTAGAATATTGTTGCAGTGCAGTACAATATGGTGCCAGGGATACTACACATGGAGACAGACTGTTAACATTTTATAAAATAAGATGCTGCAGCAAGTCATATTACGTAATGATAGTTTGTTGATGAACATTTCTCAAATTAAATTTCAGGACCTTTTATTTTGCCCTCTTCATCATTTTTTGTCTCCATGGGGACTATGAATATTTCAAAGCCATGACTCCCCTTTAGAGAAACATTGCATTTGAACTTCCGTACCATCGTGCAGTTTTGAAAAAAATTGCACTCTTGATCGACTCCAGCAGGTGATCCAGAAGTTCTCGGAATTAGCCATAGCAATGGATGCTTTAGCATCTAACTTGTTATGGAGTAACTTCTAGAATGCCGGGCATACATATACTTTGATAAGATAGGACCATGCAACCAACACACGAACTCTCGGTTTTCTTGATTGTGTTGAACAGAGTCCCATGAGTCCCGGATGTAGAGTGAGCTCTAGGCCATGGACACCTGATTCTGTTTCAATTGGGTTCCTTTCTGGGAACCAGAACAAGATATTTTGTTCAGTTTGTTCTCCAAACCCATCAGTCATACCTACAATGATCTCCATGTCCCAGTGTTAAGAGTTTCACACTGCTTGGGAGCGTTTTTTGGTCCTTATTTTATATAAAGATTTTTTTAAGGTTACCTTTGCCTTCATGCCAGACAAATTCCTGCGTGTTCAGGGATAGACTTGAAACATTGCACAATCCCTTGATCCAGGGAGCTGGTTCCCAGTTACACCTCCCTCCAGTTACGGGTCAGCTTTGGTGACAGTAAACAAGTCCTCAGAAGAAACAAAAGCAATCACGTCTGAGCTCAATTCTGAGGAAGCCAATGAGCAAACCACTTAAACAAATATTAGCAGAAGATTCCATAATGCTGAAAGCAGACATTATCTTCTATCCTTTCATCAAGAATCACTTAAACATAGTAAATGTTAGTGAGCTTTACAATGCATTTTCCGAACCTGCTACTTTCCCTTTAGTTTCAACAAAGCACAAAGCAGTACGTAAAAATCAGATTTAAAAAATCATAACTCCTACTGCTTAGCTAATTTGATTTAATTGCCATTCATTTAAGAAGTACAAACATCATGGTGGAATATCAAAATGATACATAGTAATTAAAAATGTCTAATCAGCATGATGGCTGACTTTGCACGTAATGCCCTACATCTGAGAGCGAAGTGTCGAATCAGGACGAGCCCTTCAGTTTTGCAAGGACAGCTCAGTAACATGGCTGAAAGAGACATTGCAGGAAGACAGAAAGAAGATAAGGAAATGGCCTGGCTAGTTAATGGGCAAACAGTCCATCTTTGCAGAATTTAGGCTATAGCATTCAGGTGTACACATACAAAAGGAATTCTTAATATTTTTGTCTTTCTCTATTATTAACATTTTCCTTTCACTTAAGTCTGATTATTTGATTCTCCTACCAATTCAATAGAAGGTATTGTTTTCATTAGACCCATTATAATGACTGGGGAAAATAACAATAACATCACAAACCCCAGCCTATTAGAAGTCTTATTGGTAAAAACACCAGATCTAACACTCAGACCTAAATCTTTTCATCCAAAGGCGCTCTGCTTTGGGGCCGCTTGCTGCTCTCTGCAGTTTTATGGAACAGACTATATGACACTCATAGACAATTGAAATCATGGGGACTTGGGGGCATGGTTTAAGGATCAGGACTTGATGCCTTTTAGTTCTGGCTTTCGCTTTCCCTATTACTTCCTGGAAAAAACATTCCATGATTTCCTACTCCACGGGTAGACTGAGAATAGCAGCAGAGCTGTGTTTACAGCTCAGAGAACTGCTGGAAAGAGTGCTGCCAGCTTTGGTGCTCACAAAGGGAGAGTGCTATAAAACTGAAGCTTACGAGCAGGGCACAGCACTAGTGTCATTGAAGGTGCACACTGAGCTTTCATTGCCTGATACAGTGAGTCTAGGGTTAGTTGCTCTTTTCTTTACTTTCAGATAGTAATTTCGAGGAAATGCTGTAAAGGTCTGTTAAAAAATAAACAGTTGGCTTTAGTTAGGTTGTGCATTAACTGTTGTATTTCAATAATTTATCAGGTAAAGATTATAAAACTAAAGCACCATTAGCACTAAAGAAATATGCTTCATGTTTAATATCTAAAACTGAAATTATATACCAGGGGGCTTCAAGAAGTTCTTAGAACAATGCAATTAAAAGACGATGGAATTTTTCTACAAACTTTTTGAAGCCCACGTGTGTATGTGAGTGTGTGTGTAAAACTAAATCTAGACTGAGTATGTGTTCATAAAATCCAATTAAATCTAGTTAATTATATATTTCTTCGACAAACTGAATCATTTTAGGGTTAGAAATATTGTCTTCTCTTCTCCTTTTCCTGCTAATGTTAAGTACATTTTCCAATATAATAAATGTCTTTTATTCAACATTTTTAAAGGAAGTTTACAAAGAGTGTCTCATCTTTGTGAGTGACAAGTTAGATGCAGAATTTTATTTCAAAACCATTTTAAGTCCAATCCAAGTTATAGTGAGTTCTCGTTATTTTTTAATATTGCAAATGATACATTTTAGGTCATCTATAAGAATAAAATAGTGTGACTTGTTTTCTGACTTGTAGGCATAACTAATGTGTGGCAGAACTTTACAATCACTTCACTAATGCCACATGAAATCATTCATTTACAATCAAAAGAATGTACTACTTGAGTTTTCTCAACCCTCACTCCAAGAGCCAGCTTCTCCCTTAAACACAGCAAAATGTAATATCTGTAGAACTACAGGAAAACACTTATTTTGGATAAAAATATTGCATACTCCCCATTGCTTCTAATAATGCTTTATTGTAAATACTTGAAAAAGAATGATATTAGATGCCATTGTTTGGCGTTGTAACTGGAAGTGCTTATCAAGTGAAGGGGAATGGATACTTTTGGACCCACCTCTCTTTTTTCTCACCCCAGCTTACAAAAGAAGCCCAGTCGAAGTACTTTATTTTCTTCTCATATTTCCATGCCAAAGTCCTCTTTGGGTTGACATTCGCTCCTAGAAACCAGAGAATCAGGCAAAGAGGGTAGATGGATCAGACATCAGGGAGTTGAATCGACATCAGAAACACTGGCACGTGGGCTCCAAGAGACCCTCTAGGAATCATGAGCAGACACTTCATTTTGAAATACTGGCATGATGGGGTGTCTGTGTTGATTGAGTAAGAACCTTAAAGGGAAGTAGAAACTAGTGTTGGGAGCGTCTACCGCAGACAGATGCCAGACAGAAGGTGGATGAATATGAAGATAGTAGAACTATGTGGTCAACGAGGCTCACTAAAAAGTTGTTTCCTGATTTTCTGAATCCCTTCTGAACCTCAGACACTCCAAGCAGGATTCCGGGGACACACCACAGTCCTCTGACCTTGTCCCAGGAGCTCAGACAAGCAAGCAATCCAGGTGTTCCAGGATTTGTAACTGTTAGTTAATTCAGCTTAACTTCCACATTTTGTTTCCCGTTACCTATCACGGATTTCTCATTAATTGAATTCAAAGCAAGGTCTGCGAGTATCTGGTCAAGTGAAATGTTTTTGAATTTTCAAAAACTCCCGTTATTCTTTTGCATTTAATCAGCTTCACAGTGAACATGGTCCTTCTCCTTCCATACTAACCCTTACGTAAATGTTTCTCACCGTACCATCCGAACATGGGCTGGCCTTTGTCAGAAGAAATCCTTGTCAATAGAGCTATGAGGTTAGAGTTCCCAAAATTGAAGCTTCACCAGCAACCACCATGCCAAATATATATAGATCATGCAATTAGCACAGCCTGGTTATATTTGGAAAGAAATTTAACAGCTGCTTGCCATTGTATGTTAATAATAAATTTATATTCTTTCTAGAGAGAATAATAGAAATCTGCCATGGGTATATGAGAAGAAATACAGGACAAAGATATATATATAAAGATTGGCATCTGCAAACAATTGGTGTACAAGATATCTCCATTACAATAAGAATACACATGTCTTTTAAGTGACCTTGAGTTTATAATGCATGTGGGATTATAAGAGCGAGTGTGAATGTTCTTAGATGACAATATAGGGAATGGACATTTTATTCTTTTTAAAAAATGAAATATTCAAGACACACCAACATGCATTCATATTTTATAGGAGGAACTGCTGCTATAGCAAAGACCTCTATAATACAGCTTCATGTTTACATCCCCCACTTGTAGAAGTCACGTGTAAGATGTATTGTTGTTTCCGCGAATGCTCTCTGCACACAAGTGTGTGTTTAAGACGGAGCGGAATCCTCTCTCACATTGTGCTTCTCCTTCTTGTCTTTATTTACAGAATGTTTTTGTGGACAAACCAGCCTTCCCAGAGTATAAAGTCTCTGATGCAAAAAAGTCCAAATTCATCCTTCTGCATTTTAGCACTTTTAAAGCCGGCTGGGACTGGCTTATTTTGTTGGCGACGTTTTATGTTGCTGTGACCGTCCCTTACAACGTCTGCTTTATTGACAACGATGACCTGTCCACGACTCGGAGCACCACCGTCAGTGACATTGCGGTGGAGATTCTCTTTATTATCGGTGAGCACCCGCGGCTGCTTTCCTGGCGGATTTGCCTGTGGGAAGGAAGTGGGGTCCAGACTTTTCTGACACAAATTTGAACTCAAAGCCATTTGCATGGGCCTGACTAAGCTCCTGATGCAAATCTTGGAGAAGCACTTCTTTGGGTTTCAGAAATTTTCCCTCTTTCAGCCTTTCCACTGCTCCTTTATTCAAACAAATCTAGACAAACACACACCATTTGGACACTCACTTCATCCAAAATGGCTGGAAAAGGCTTTGGGGTGTTTTGTTTGTACTCTCACATGTTCTAAACTCTGTAGGATCAGAGTGGATCTTAGTGTGAACCCCCCAACAGTCCCAGGCATGGTTCTGTAGACACCGAGAGTGGTTGCTACAGGGGGTCTGGCTGCAAACTCGAGAGAAATATCTCATTTTACTCGACGAGAAGTCCCCAGTGGGAGTTTATCAGGAGAGTTTTTGTCTCTAGACTATTGAGAACTTTCATTGAAGTTGCTTCATTCTTATAAACCTTTTCCTGATTTCTTTCTTAAAATTCACGCTTGTTCAACCCAAGGCTAGCTCTCTCTTGAATGTTCTAGAATTCTGCATCTCTTTCTAAGGTGGACTACTTGTCACGTTCTTGACCCTCATTAGCGAAATGATGCTTGCATCACCGCCTGGCCGTGTTCATGAAGGGCCACATTCATGGAGGAAAGAAGTCATATTATTTGGAAAGCATTTCAAGCATTTAGACAAGGATGTGAGAAGTGGTTCTAAAAAGTTCAAAGAAAATGAAATCAATACACAAAGCAGATCAATTCTACAGTGAATGTTTTACATGTAGGGGTACTTTTTCCCCATAAAACATATAAAGTTTTGGGGAAGAGTGTGGGTTCTCTAATAGAATGTCAGCATCTGTTAACTCAGCAGGTATCTGTGAGTTTTGGTGTGGCTTTCACATTATTGTTAAGGTTGAATATCCCAAGAAACACACTTTCAGAGTCTGGTGGTGTAGTGGTTATGCGTTGGGCTGCTAATTGAAAGGTCATCAGTTCAAAGCCACCATCCGCTACTTGAGAGAGTGACAAGACTTTCAATTCCCGTAAAGAGTGACAGTCTCAGAAACCCACAGAAGCAGTTCTACCCTGACCTGCAGGGTTGCTGTACCATTGGTTCAATGGCAGAGAACTTGAGTTTCTAGTTTTGCCCCCACCCCTGAAGTGGTGAGTGTGGTATATTTTGGCCACTAGATGGCAACGTTGTCTACTTTGGTACCCTGCTCAGAAGACAAACTAGAAAATGCATTTAACCACATCTATTAAGGAGCGCTGGTAGTGTAGTGGTTCTGCATTGCGCTACTAGCCACCAGGTCAGAAGTTTGAAAACACCAGACTCTCTGCGGGAGAAAGTGAAGCTTTGTTTTCCAGTAAGGAGTTACTGTCTCTGAAGCCTGTACTGTAGGGTAGCTATGAGTCCAAATAGACTCAATGACAATGAGTTGTTTGTTGTACACTTTATTAAAAAGAACCGCTGGTGGCATGTCCGTTACTTCCATAAAGAGTTTCCGTTTCAGAAACCCAAGTGGGAGTTCTATTCTGTTCTATAGGTTTTTCTATGAGTTGGAATTGACTTGATGGAAATGAGTTGTTTGTTTGCTTTTTTAATTAAACCTTTGTGTTAGTCTGGGTTGACTAGAGAAACAAATTCATAGACACTCATGTGTATAAGAAAGAGCTTTATATACAAGAGCAATTGAATATTGAGAAAACATCCCAGCCCAATCCAGATCAAGTCCATAAGTCTGGGATTAACCCATTATGTCCGATATCAATCCATAAAGTCCTCTTCAGACTCAGGAAACACATGCAAGATACCAAATGTAGGAAGATCACAGGCCAATGGGTGGGAAGTCTTGAGGATCCAGTGGTGGTGGAGGCATCTCAGCGCTGGCAGATTGGATCTCCATGTGGCTTCTCCAGCTGCAAGGCTCTGGCTGCCATCCGCCTTTCTCCATCTGTCTTTTCAGTTGCAGGGTCTTCCAGGAAGTGAGCATAGAGAGAGTATCTCCCGCCTCCAAGGAGGAATACCAGAGTTAGGAATATTGGAGTTCCCAAAATCCTCAGGAGAAGACCATGCCCACATGGAGGCCTCATTGGCTATGATCTGATTGACAGGCTAGACTGCACCCCTTCATTCTTAATCCTCAAATTGACAACAGATTATGTAACTACCCCAACCCTATACCAATAAAGTGATGTCAAATCTTTGCTAAATTACATCTTCCCAGGATGAGCAAGAATTTGAAAGTGAAATCTTAGGCATATTGATTGTGTGCATGTCAATCTCTTGTTGTCTTCTATCCTTTTACTTTGTCAATCTTTGACTCCTTTGACTCCTTCCCACCCTCACCCACCTAAAAAGACTTCCTATGACCTTGAACAAAGTGCTCAAGAATTTGGTCAATCATCCAGCATGTCTACCCTTGAGTCACTCAGCATGCCCATTTCATAGAGTTTTGTGAAATACTAGAGAGGAGTACTATCTGTATAGGAAATACTAGATAGGAGTACTATTAGCAAATATTTTCATCTTACTATATTATTGTTGCTGCTATTGATATTACTTAACAACTCTGTCACAAGATCAAGGTTGTGTGTGGGACTCATTTCCAATCTTCCTGAGTCATAGGTATTTGATTTGATAAGGGCATAGAAGGAACCCTGATGTTTGGAATCCACTCAACAGGCTCCGGTAGAGAAAGATCTGGCAATCTGACTGTACTAAACTTGCAGGCCAGAACACCATATGTAACAGTTCTACTTGGGTCTCTATGAGTCAGAATCAATTCGAGGGCACCTGTAACAACAAGGGCTTAGAAGTCTCTCTGATACCAGATGTGCATTGGTACATAATGACTTCTTTATCCCCTCAGAGCAGATATTGATGAGCGTTATCTATGGGATATATTGGGCTTGGGGTTTTGTTTTGTTTTGTTGAAGACTTCTTTCCTCGACTAAACTAATCAAGAGTCTGGCTTGCTCCCCTCAATTTCCCCTAGGTGTTCTTTCTTACGGCCGCTCCCACTGGGCTCTGAGCACCAAAATGGTTCTCCCAGTAGGCAATCCTGATTCCGGACTAACTGCACGATAAAGATGAGAAAGGAATGGAAACCAATCCCTGTTTTCTTGCCATTTAGCTGCTACCAAAATTGCTTGAATTTGAGATTTTGGCTGATAACAGTTTTAGGTTGCTAGCAGATTCCTGTCTGGAGGCCCCGTTGACTGACATGGTTTCCTAAGTAGTACAAACTCCCCTGTTCTTTCTGCCGGCTTTCCTGGTCTCCTTCTTTTAAATGAGCATCATGGTATAAATCTATCATAGGTAGAAAAATAGTTTAAACAGACTTTTTTGTTCAAAGTGCGGTTTCCAAGGACCTCCATTCTATGAGATATGAAGGTAATTCTAAAAGATTTACTACTTGGGTCCCAGTTCATCCATGAATGTTTCTGTTCCACACAAAGTGTTGCAATATGCTTCTGTGATCTGCGGATGGCTGCTAAGAAGTTCACCTCCTCAGACATGTGTCTTGGTCCTGTTAGGGTAACATCACAGAAAAGGCCTTCACTCCCGCAACTATACTCTCTCCTCTGACTCAGCTTTCAGCCAAAAAATATATATACAGGCTTGGAGGGGAAGGAAACATCCCAGAGGTATACACTCCTCAGAACGACCAAGTGTGCAACATAAAAAGGACAGCATTTGCTAATGGATCAAACTCTTGAAACCCAGAAGGGACAGGAAAGAAGGCTGAATAATAATGGAAAAACACAGGGAGGGCAGACATGGGGAGTGTGCTGGTATATCGTGGGGACTGCAATCAATGTAGGAACTGTTGAATGGAAAACCGATTTCCTCTGTAACATTTTAAATCATAATGAAAAATGTTTTAAAAAGAAAAGGCCTTATTGATATATTGGCTTTGTCAGGAATCTGCTGGCCCTGTTAGCGTCAAAGCAGAGAGATCAGCTTAGAAGGTTATGGTGACTGTTTGGGGGACACAAAGGAGTCATCTTAATGGATTCTCTTGAAGGACAGGATAATCCTGGGGACATATTATGAAGAATATGGTAGGGGAATTGAAAACTTTGTTGGTAAGAAGAAGGCCATAAAAATTGTGCTGAGAACTTATTTTCTTTTCATCCCCACAAAACACCTGTTCCTCTGGGGAGGGTAGAAAGAGCTGGCCGAAGAGAATTTTGTTTGGAAAGCTTTCCTTATGCACGTGACAACCGTGATCTGGCCTCTTCAGACTTCTTTTTTGTGCCTAAACTCAAAGAACATTTTGGAAGAACATTAAGTCCCTCATTGGGGCCAACACTGCTGTCTTCATGTTCTGTATATCAAAGAATGCAGAATTTTTGAGAAAGCTTAGAAAGACGGAACACTTTATTCAGAATTGCCTTGATGTAGATGGAGTATATGTCTAGAGATAACAACATTTCTATATATTTGTTTAATGTATACTTCTATGATTTCACAGCAATTCTTTTTGACTTACCCTCATGTTTTCTAAAAGTGTCTTCAAACAAAACTGACAAATCAGATGTTGTGGGGGCACGGTGCTTGAGCGCATGCCTGTAAACCACGGTGCCCCATAGCACCCTGCCATCTTCACATATTACACATCACATATATTACACATATTAACTGCGACTGTAGACAGTATGAATCGCCCCAGAGTTGGGTAAAAACTGGCCTTGAGATCTGAGTTCCCACTGTGAATACAATCTTGTGTAACTTTCCTAAATAACCCACTCAACTCAAAATCAGTGTGAATACCTGGAAAGTGTGCCCTCAATTTGTTCAAGGCTTTGGGTGGTGGAGGGCAGTTTTGTGGAAGTGGGACACTGTGGGTGTGTGGCTCTCCACTGTTGGACTCTATTTTATAGCTGGAGAGAGATCAGGAGGGGAAAAAATGGAAAGGCAAATACACATGGCTGAAGCGTCCAGTGACTCCC